TCCTCCCACTGATACCGGGGTGCCACAGCCTACGCCGTCGCTCGATGGTTCGTGGAAGCCAAGGAGCTTCTATGAACAAGGTCTTGCAGATGATACGCTAACCCCGGTCATTGATCTGGATGCAGCGCTTGGCCCCTTTAATACTCCTGACATGCGTGCTGGGCAGACTGCTCCTAGTAGCTTTTCCGCTGCAACGAGGCGCATGTACAGTGGCGGACGACGTGGTGAATTCGTTGGTCCCGAAATGCGCTACCATCGCCGCACGGAGAGTGCCCCGGAGATGCCACCGTTTGACCGCAGTGCCCTTGGTAACCATCGGTTGACCGGTAACTCTACCCTGGAAAACCCCGACGTTTTCTACGAGGAGGAGGAGGATGCCTTCTTGGCTGCTACGAGTGAACCCTCGCCAGAGGAGGAGCGACGAGTATCCCAGGCGGGTTCGGTTATCTACGATGAACCCTCAACTAGTGACAAGGACAGCTCTGATACGCTCACACGACAGCCTGCAGAAGAGGAAGGGCCTCGTGCAGAGGGACTGGGGATTCAGGGGAATGCACCGGCTCAGGTCGCTGCACCTCTGTGGAACAACCTTGTCAATGGGCGCTTTGAACAAGAAAAGGTTGCGGAGCAAGTACACAGCGCCAGAAACCCGTTTGCGAACCCGCCACGCACTCCTGTGGATATTATCAGGCAGGAAGGCTGGCAACATAACCGGGCGCCGGCTCCCCCCAGTCCTGATGTCTCGCCTCGCTTCCTACCTGTCGATAAGCGGCCATCGACATCTCCCATTGATTTGGGTCCTAACATTCCCCCGTTCTCGCTTAACGGTGGCTCTTCCCAACCGACCTCGGGGTTCCCGTCCCCTGTTTTCACCAACTCTCCGCCTGATGGTCCACGCTCAGTTACGACACCTTCGACCATGGACCGCACCTTTTTTATACCACCTTATAATAATATGTCGGCAGAGTTCCCCCACGGGTCGGTTGAGGATGTGCCATCCTTGACGAGCAGTACTTCGACCTCCACGAATCCCTTGCAACGATTTTCCGCTACCTTTTTCCCTCGCCGTGGCTCCTCGGATCGCGCAGCGTCATTTTCTGCAGCTGTGCATCGTCGCACCAGCGCGTCACATGCTGCGAAGAGATCCAGTCTTGCCAGTTTATCCAAGCTTGTCGTTGGTCCTCATGCCAACGAAAGGAGCAAACTGAGTTACGAGGAGAAACCCCCCGGAGATGCGCCTGAAAAGGGTAAAAAGAAAGGCCGGGGGATAGGTCGTCTCAAGCATTTCTGGAGAACGAAAGACAAAGAAAAAAACCACGGGTATACCGACCAATGACCTACATAATCTAATATCATCCACCATCGCATGTCCGTTTACGGTTTTTTTTTTTTTTTTAATCATTTGGCTTCGACACCTACACACCTGTACATAGTCTTCCTTCTCATCCAAGGACCTGCAGCATCTTGTCGACTGTTCTGACTTTTCTTCGATCTTGACATCATTTTGGTTGAGAAAACTTACGAATTTCTTTTTCTGGGAACGTTTTTAGCAAGCGTAAAGATATGAGCTTGTTCTATCTTTCATATTTTCTTGTCTCTCGTTAATATCTGGTTATTGATCCATTGGATGCGATTATTGAGCCTTCTTTACATTTCTACTCTCTTTCTCTACTTTCTTTTGGCGGCTGGCATTTGGCAACCGTTTTACTTTTCTTTTCTATCTTTCATTTAGAGGACGGACTTTTTCTTCTCTTATTTTCATTCCACCATTGTCAATTTGATCTGACTGTGAGGTAACTATTAGAGATAGCGAGGGCATTCTGATGAATTGGATGCGTTAGCCTGGAATATTTCAATCTAGACTTGCTTTGAGAATGAACTAGCATTGCCCGCTACGGCGATTTACTCGGATGTTCTGGCAAAACGTCGGTAGATATATATACATGACGGGAGATTTTATCCGTCTCGGATGATCTGTATATGCCTGAGGCATACATCGGATTGCCGTGAATGGCGAATCCGACGGCAGAATTGTACATGTCCTGCTGATCGATTCTTGTGTCCATGCTACTGTTCCTTTCCAATCTCTGTAGTATTCCGTCTTCCATTATTATTCTCTTCCATCTCCAAGTTTCTCACAATCGCCTGCTTAGTCAAACCGGCCCGTCGCGGAGCAACGTCCTCCGGAACGGAGATGTCGGCGACTGTTTGACAGAAGACATCGGAAAAGGGAACTCCGCATCACTTCAGTTAAATCTCCGATGTGTGCTCGTGGTGCTATGTTGAGAGGCGAGAGGATGTATGATGATATATTCTATGTGCCGGGATATCGGATGCTAGACCAGGATGTCATTCCAATGTTTTCTGGACCATCGGCGGATGTAAATGAAGTCAATTGCCGTTTACGGCAAACTGTCATGGGTGATATCAGTGTACTCCGTAGAACATAGTGAACACACTGAATAGCGCTCTGTAGCACACAATTACAATTAATCAATAACAGACTATCTCAATCTCATATATATCTCTCTACTAATACTTTGTAGTAGTACAGGTGCTATGTACTCCGTACCAGTAGGCATTATGCTGCACACCGGTGAAGCCCCACCGGCATCATCCCCCACTTAGTAACCACCACCGCCTTCGGACCCCTCATCGCTTTTTCACTCTCTTCCCTCTCTCTCTTTTTTCTTCTCTTATATTTCTTCTCTTCATCCTCTTTCTTCCTTTGTGATCAGCTGCAATTGTTTCTGTGGCTGTCAATTCTTTTTAAGCGGTGATCCCAAGGAACAAGTATGTTGCCCCTCTGTTGTCATTCTGATACAATCCTCCATATCCCCTCTATCCTCAACCATCGACTCCTCTTCTCTCTCTCTCTCTCTCTGTCATCTCCCAGCTAACAATTCCAGCCGCCATCATGCCGTACTCCGAAGTTGACCAATTGGCCATCAACACCATCCGTACCCTCGCGGTCGATGCCACCTTCAAGGCCAACTCGGGCCACCCCGGTGCCCCTATGGGCATGGCCCCCGTTTCCCACGTCCTCTTCAACAAGTTCATGAGCTTCAACCCCAAGAACCCCGACTGGGCTAACCGGGATCGTTTTGTTCTCTCGTACGTTCCCTTCATTTTGAATATGTTTAATGGTGGCTAACGAAATCAGCAATGGTCACGGCTGCATGCTCCAATATGCTCTCCTCCACCTCTTCGGCTACGAGCTCTCCATGGATGACCTGAAGAACTTCCGTGTATGCTACCTATCTACCACAATTCAACGAATAAATGTACTGACTCCTGCAGCAACTCGACAGCAAGACTCCCGGTCACCCCGAAGCTCACGACACCCCCGGTATTGAGGTCACCACTGGTCCTCTTGGTCAGGGTTTCGCCAACGCCGTTGGTCTTGCCATTGCCCAGGCCCAGGCTGCTGGTACCTTCAACAAGCCCGGCTATGACCTCTTCAACAACTACACCTACTGTTTCTTCGGTGACGGCTGTGCTATGGAGGGTGTTGCCAGCGAGGCTGCCTCTATGGCCGGTCACTTGAAGCTTGGTAACCTCATTACCATCTACGATGACAACGGTATCTCCATTGGTATGTACCCTCATTCCCTTTGGAAAGAAGAAAAAGATGCTAATTGAGTAGACGGTGACACCAAGTGTGCTTTCACCGAGGACGTCATGAAGCGTTATGAAGCCTACGGCTGGCACACCGTCCACGTCAAGGACGGTGACAACGACCTTGAGGCCATCGAGGCTGCCATCCGCGAGTGCCAGCAGGTCACTGACAAGCCTTCCGTCATCAAGCTCACCACCACCATTGGTTTCGGTTCCAAGCTCCAGGGTACCGGTGGTGTCCACGGTAACCCCCTCAAGGCCGATGACTGCCAGGGTGTCAAGTCTCTCTTCGGTTTCAACCCCGAGGAGAGCTTCGTCGTTCCCCAACAGGTCTACGACCTCTACCACCAGCACGCCGCCGAGGGTGCTGCCAAGGAGCAGGAGTGGAACCAACTCCTCCAGAAGTACTCCTCTGAGCACCAGGCCCAGCACGATGACCTCGTCCGCCGTCTCTCTGGCAAGCTCCCCGAGGGTTGGGAGAAGAGCCTCCCCACATACCAGACCAGCGACGCTGCCATTGCTTCGCGTAAGCTGAGCGAGGCTGTCCTTGAGAAGATCCACGACGTCATCCCCGAGCTCGTCTCCGGCTCTGCTGACCTGACTGGCTCCAACAACACCCGCTGGAAGAACGCCGTCGACTTCCAGCCCCCTGAGTACGGTATTGGTGAGTGGTCCGGCCGCTACCTCCGCTACGGTGTCCGTGAGCACGCCATGGCTGCCGTCATGAACGGTCTCGCTGCCTACGGTACCGTTATCCCCGCCTCCGGTACCTTCCTGAACTTCGTCTCCTACGCCGCCGGTGCCGTCCGTCTCTCTGCCCTCTCTCGCGTCCGTGTCATCCACGTCGCTACCCACGACTCCATCGGTCTGGGTGAGGACGGTCCTACTCACCAGCCCGTTGAGACCCTCGCTCACTTCCGTGCCCTCCCCAACTGCATGGTCTGGCGTCCCGCCGACGGCAACGAGACCAGCGCTGCCTACTACATGGCTCTGACCTCCAAGCACACCCCCTCCATCCTCGCCCTCACCCGTCAGAACCTGCCCCAGCTGGAGAACTCGACCATCGAGTCCGCCATCAAGGGTGCCTACGTCGCCGTCGACGCCCCCAACGCTGCTGTCACTCTGATCTCCACCGGTTCCGAGGTCAGCATCGCCATCGAAGCCGCTACCTCCCTCCAAGAGAAGCACGGTGTCGTTGCCCGTGTCGTCTCCGTTCCTTGCTTCGAAGTCTTCGACGCTCAGCCTAAGGAGTACAAGCTCCAGGTTCTCCCCGACAACGTCCCCGTCCTCTCCATCGAGGCCGCCTCGACCATGGGCTGGGAGCGCTACTCGCACGAGCAGTTCGGTCTCAACCGCTTCGGTGCCTCTGCTCCTTACAAGCAGGTGTACGAGAAGTTCGAGTTCACTCCTGAGGGCATTAGCAAGCGTGCTCTTGCCACCATTGACTTCTACAAGGGTCACTCTGTGCGCTCGCCTATCAACCGTGCTTTCCAGCAGATTCTGTAAAGTTAGCATGTTGATGTCTTTTCTTTGTTATGTTGTTTCTATTTAATGGGTTATGGTAAAATGCGGATCTAGTGATTTATGAAACTTGATATCATCCAAGATCTAGAGGATGAACAAAAATACGATTCTTCATTTCATACAAATTGCCTACTGTATCGTAGTTTATGAAAATCCTGATCCAGGTATCAACATCAATTGCATAAATAACTAATAAGCATTTTATCATCCATCCATCAATCATATTCTTATGTCCATCCCAGTCCATGCTTTCAACAATGCAAAGAAAACAGTCTACGACTGCAAAGCCTTCCGCGCAAAGTTCGGCAACACAAACGCAGCCCGGTGAATATCCGAGTTATAGTACCGGCACAAACGCTCCTCCTCCTCACGCGACCAAGACCGAACAGGCTCGCGCACATTGCGCTCGGGGTCCTTGCAGCACACCATGAATCCAATCTGGCCCGACGGGTAGGTGGGGATGGTGGTGTAGGCGTATTCGGCGACGGGGAAGACCTCCTTGCAGGCCTTGCGCAGGTCGGCGATGAGCGAGAGGTGCAGCCATTGGTTTTCGGCTATATGGTGTGAAATGCGTCAACCAGCCGAGCTTTCCAGGGGGAAAGGTCGGGGTGGTTTTTGCGCGGGATAGGTTAGCTTTCTTCATCTCAAATGTATGTGTGGATCATGACTTGGGGAGGATTAAAAAAAAAAAGAAAAGGGGGGAAAAAGTGTAGACAAAAAGAAAGGCGACGAACAACCTTGCGTGGTGATAACACCCCCATCCCTCAACGCATCCCTCAACAACTCAAAGTACGGCTTCTGGAAAAGACTCTCCGCAGGGCCCTCCGGGTCCGAACTATCGGTGATAATAACATCAAACTCATTCTGGCGGTTCTTCAGGAACTCAAACCCATCACCAATGTGGACACCAACGTTCGGGTGCTGGAAGCCAATGCTCATGCCGGGCAGGTACTTCTTGGAGACGCGGATGACGGCCTCGTCGATGTCGCAGAGGATAGCCTCCTCGACGGACTCGTGCTTGACGACTTCGCGGAGGACACCGCCGTCGCCGCCGCCGATGACGAGGACTTTCTTGGGGTTGGGGTGGGCGTTCATGGCGAGGTGGGTGATCATTTCTTGGTAGCTGTTCTTTTATTAATACCCTTCATAACAGACTGAGTGAAAAGGGGGTAAAGCGTACGAGAACTCATCACGCTCAGTGCACTGGATGACATTGTCGAGCACAAGGACGGTGCCGTAGTCGCTGCTCTCGAAGACAAGAACATCCTGGTACTGGGACTTCTCGTGGTGCAGGATCTGGTTGACCTTGAGGTTCATGGCCTGGCCGGGCCACATGCCGGACTGTTCGGAGAACCAGCCATCTATTCATTATCAGCATTCTCGTTGCTAGAGTAGAGGTGGTGAGAGAGGCGGGGTACCCTGGATGGTGGGGTGGGTAATTTCGCTCATTTTGGGGGTAGATAGGAGACGGTAGTGAAAAGGGAAAGAAAGACGAGGACGAAGAGGAAAACTGCGAAGTCGAAAAGAAGAAAAAATTGGGGAGGGAGAGTAGCGCATAAAAAGAGGGAAAAAAGACGCGGAGGAAAAAGCGAAGAGTTTTCCGCCGGTGGGGGTGGGGTCTGGTGTATGGTGGTATGGTTCACTACTACTACTACTACTACTACTACTACTACTACTACTTCTACATAGTCACTACGAAGTCTCAGATAGAGAAGGATAAGAGGTATTAGTGAATAGAGCTGGATTAAACATTTTCATATGACACTTCGGTCAATTGGTTAGTGACACAACAAACTATGCTCCTGTCCTGTCATACATACTACTCTACTCCGTACAATGCGCACTCAACTATGCCACACCCTCTAGATAAGCAAACACATAGCAGGATACAGATACCAATCGCATTAATAGTCCCTAAAATCGCACTCTTTGCGCCATTCCAATGGCTAATCCCTCGATGCTGGTTGGACCAATTGAAGTGCCCGACACTGCGACTCCGGAATAATAAACCGCAGAAACATAACGGAAAAGAAAGTAAGATCCCAAGACTCGATTGTGTTCTAGTAGGTACTGTACAATGCAATTCCCGTCTCCTAAATACCCTCACACGGTATATCCATATATCAACGCATTTACTCGTCATCACCCTCGAGGAGGCGGCCAGGCTTCGAGTTGAGGTACTCGTTTCTGTGTATATAACATTAGCATTCAATCCTCGTAATCCACAATTCCTCGTTAAACGCAATCCAGGCACAGGGGCGGGGCGTACCTCTCAACAGCCCAGTTCATGGTGGCGTAAGCGATCAAGAACGGAGGAGCCACGTAGAGAACCTGGTGACGGAAACGACGGAAGGTGTTGAAGATGGCGTTGTGGAATGCACCGGCAAGAGGTCTCTGACGGTTGGCAGAGAGGGAGTAGGTGGTGATCCGCTGGGGGGTAGGGCAGCCTGTCATGTCAGATTAGTATGCTGACTTGTGGTATTGCATATAGCATGGCATATAGCATTGTATATGTGTCGGATATCGGATATAGAGCATTGGGAATCGAAATGGAAGCACCGAAGAGTAACTCGTATATGAGGAATTCGGGTTATGGGTAGGCTGGTCCGGAGGTATGGGGGATCGTGATGAAGCTAGGTCACGTACCAAGGGCACCCCAGGGGCCAATGTAACTGTAGAGGACAAAATGTCAGCACCAGATCATTCATATAACACAATTAGAATGTCCATATCGTCTTGTTCAAACAGCGCTTATAAATGGCGACTGTTCATTGGTGCCGGAGCCCTTGAATCGACACAGCGCAAGCAATGGAAAAGATACGGGAAAAGAAAACTCACGTTCCGTTCTTAACGTCAGCAGTGCCAACCATTGTGACGATTGTAAGTACAGGACAGGGAAAGAGGGATGTAGTACAGCGCAAAGAGTTGTAGAGCAGAAAGAGAGAGATCGCGGTCGGGTGAAGTTGGAGGTTTGGCCAACCCGCGCTAGTCCGCATCGGGACACTGCGAAAGGTCCGACATCACTTCATTCTCCAGTAAAATAATATACCACCACCATCTCCTCCCACCTTTACTCACACCAACACACACAATGGCTGCGAACGCCCTACAAAACCTCTACCGTCTAGCCATCCCCGTCGCCACGGGTGCAGCTCTCGTCAACTCCTCGCTGTACGATGTCCGCGGCGGAACCCGAGCAGTCATCTTCGACCGATTGTCGGGAGTGCAGGAGACAGTGATCAACGAGGGCACGCATCTTCTAGTCCCGTGGTTGCAGAGAGCCATTATCTACGATGTCCGCACGAAGCCGCGCAACATCTCGACAACGACGGGGAGTAAGGATTTGCAGATGGTTAGCTTGACGCTGAGAGTTTTGCACCGGCCTGATGTTCCCAAGCTGCCGGCGATCTACCAGGTAACCCCCCTCTCCGAAACCAATATAAAATGATAATGGGGCTAATAAGACAGTCCTACGGTACCGACTACGACGAACGTGTCCTACCCTCCATCGGCAACGAAGTCCTCAAAGCCATCGTGGCCCAGTTCGACGCCGCCGAACTCATCACCCAACGTGAAGCCGTCTCCAACCGGATCCGGACGGACCTCATGAAGCGCGCCTCGCAGTTCAACATCTCCCTCGAAGACGTCTCCATCACCCACATGACCTTCGGAAAAGAGTTCACTCGCGCCGTCGAGCAGAAGCAGATTGCGCAGCAGGATGCTGAGCGGGCGCGGTTCATCGTCGAGCGGGCTGAGCAGGAACGGCAGGCGAACGTGATTCGTGCGGAGGGTGAAGCCGAGAGTGCGGATATTATTAGCAAGGCGGTGGCCAAGGCAGGCAGTGGGTTGATTGAGATTCGGAGGATTGATGCGAGCAAGGACATTGCGAATACGCTGTCGACTAACCCGAATGTTACTTACTTGCCCGGTGGTGAGGGTAAGGAGGGTGGAAAGAGCACGAGCATGTTGTTGGGATTGAGGGGTTAATGGTTTAAAAAATTGTGTTGTGTTTACGTTCAGATGAACTACTTGTAGCAATAGCATGCATCTCCATATCTTAATACGTCTACAACCGTCTATAAAGATGAACCTGGAATCTCATATCCTCCAACCCAGCCCCTTCGCCAACATCATACTGTAACCGTGCTGCATCTCTCCGCCACCATCTTGAGTCCTGCGACAGCACCTTTTCCCATTTGCCCTCCGCAACGGATAGCAGTGTATGATCCAGCAGGAACTTCATCGGGTATTTCCGTTCCACCTTTTCCTCTGATTTGCCCAATGACAAACTGGAATAACTCCCGGGGCTATCAACGACAAGAAGCAAAGTCCCCGGATCGACGACATCAGTCGTACGTAGTAAAAAGGCAGTCGCTTTCGCCATGGACGTCGAAAAGAGTTCATTCAGTGTGAACATAAGCGTTACCATGACCGTTCCCTGGCCGTAGAGCAATTTCAACTCTCCTTCAGGAAGAGAAAGCACATCCGCTTTCTGAAACGCAACGCCGAACTTATCCCCGTCACCATCAGGTAACAACGGAGCAGGATGCCTCTTCGACCCAGACACCTTCGACGACCGAAGCGCACCATCCAACCTCCCAACAACACCAGACCAATCCGCGATATCGACCGCCGTTACCTTCAACTCCATCCCCACCTCTCCCTTTTCCCCATCCGTATCCGTAGCCGCAGCGACAATATCCCTCCAAACCCCCGCCAACGCCACAATCTCCGCCCCAGCACCACCCCCGATACACACAATCTGTCCACCAGCGCCCCTCCCTTCCTTATCCTCGGAGAGAAGACCTAGAACAGCCTTGAAAACACCCGCATACCCAAGTGTCCGACTAGCACTCCATCGCAGCGCATACGCGCGCAGTAACTCCTCATTCGCATCTGTGAACGCCGAGTCGAAGTCGCGATTGTAGAGGTGCGATTTTATCGTCTGAATGAGTGGTTTCAGGTCCAGTTCTCCTTCATTATCGTTCGCATCACTCTGGTTTTGTTGGTCATGTTGTGAGGCAGGGGTGTTAGGGACGAGGGCGGACTGGAAGACGTTTAGGAGGAGTTGTTGGAGGGTGAGGGGGATTGTGTTGGCGGGGTTGTCGAGGGGGGTTTGTTGTTCTTCTTTCTGCAGTTGTTGTTGGCGTTGGGGCTTGCTTTCTGGGGCTCGTTTCTTGAAGGGGTTTGAATTGGACTTTTTGGTGCTGGGTCGGGGGGGCATTTTTGCTGGCGCGCGGATGTTGGAGCTGGAGGAGTTTTGCGGGGCCGCGATGGTTTGGGTCCGGTATAGATATTCAACCCTAATAGTGATGACTAGTTGGATGGAATGTTGTTGGTGCAATATGGCTTATTTTAGCGGCATTTACATAGTACTAGCTTATCAGAATGATATTCGTCTCTTCTTTTCTATTCATGTGGTATATACTGAACTCTAAGCCCAGAAGTGTAACCTACAATCACGCCTCACGCACAAGATCAACCGTCGCACAATGAAACGACCCCCCAATACTATTAACATGCTGAAACGGACACCGAATACACTCCATCCCCAACTCCTCCAACCACCCCGCCGTCCGCTCATCTCCCGCCTCAACAACCACCCTCTTCCCATCCAACACCAACGCATTCAAACACAACCACGGACTAGTCATATACAACGGCGGCTCATCCCTACCCCCCGGAGTAAATGGGTATGCCCGCAGATCCCAGTCCGCAAGAACCGCATGTCGCCGCAGTGTTTCCTCGGTGACTTTGTGCGGGTGGTATACGAGCAAACCCTCGCGGAGGGGGAGGATGGTTGCGTCGATGTGCATTGCGTGCGGGTCGTTTACTTCGAGGATCTCGATTTGATAGCCTGGTGGTAGGTTCTGGCGCACGTAGTCCACGCCTGCTTGGTTGGTGACGTGACTGTACTGGCCGATGAGGGTGCGGCCGAAGCGCATGAAGTCGGCTGTGTCGAATGCGGGTCGACTGTTGTTTATTGCCCATTCACCTTTGTTGTCGTCTAGGGTATCTGCGAAGGTGTGCGTGGGCCGTCGCACAATACGTACATGGGGGTCTTGCGCGAGTTCATCGAGGATAGGCGCGAAGCCGAGCTCGATTTCTCGTGAGCGACATTTCCATGCGAAACATGCTTCGATTAGTGCGTTGCCGACGCTCATAAGTCCGTCTCGCGGCATGGCACCCGTGTAGCCGTCTACAGCCAGCCAGTCGATGTCTCTAGGCGGCCGGTATACCCTTACGCCCTTGTTCGCCAGGATAGCGGCGAAATGATCTAACTCGGCTTCTGCTTTGGTGAGAAGGTCCTCGGGGAAAGGAGATTTGGGCTGGAAGCGGTGGACGTGCGCAGAGGGCATAGTCTTCTCGATCATCCTTTTCGAGGCGCTGGGAAAACATGACTTTCCAGCGCGGCCCACGATGATGGCGCGGAGAGGGGACCATTCGTCGTCAGCGTGTACTGCGAGTAGGGAGGCCATGCTGATAGTAAGGTATATGTAAGATATTGCGATCCCGTCTCTGAAATCATGGGGCAGGACGCTTCAAATAGTTACCCCAGTTCAGCCATGTAATGACCTGAGCGGCTGAGCCCCGCATAAACTAGGCCCCTGACCTGCGCAATGCTAGGCATTTACCGGGGTATGTATGATGCGTGACTTGTCTTGATTTGGCCAGGAGGAATCTTCAGCGAAGCTCATACCCCCATTGGTTGTTGCTTCATCAGAAGAAACCTTGGGGCCCATCTTGTGAAGTCATATTTGCATTCAGCACCGCTCAGCTCAACTCAATGAGCCTTGTACGTGACGCGATCTAGCAGTAACTGTGGTGACCGTAATGGAATGAGTGAGGGATTGGCGGCAGCTGGATCTATGCTTCTCAACCCCACATCACCAGAATGCAACCCCTCACCACCCTCACCACGATAAATCCCTTAAAACGGCGCACACCATCTCAAACAACCAATCAACAACTAAGCAACCATGACACCTTCCAATTCCACTTCCTACATGCCAGCTGAATGGCTCCCCCACGCCCGAACAATCATGGCTTGGCCCGGCTGCGCATCTCACAGCTACTGGCCACTAGGAAACCACGAGCAACTGAACAGCGACGTCACCCGCATCGCGCAAGCTATCGCAAGATTCGAAAAGGTGACCATCTACGTCGCGCGGGCGCAGGCGGATGAAGCGCGGGTGATGTTGCAGAATTGCAGTGAAAAGCAAGCTGCAGCTATCGAGATGCGGGTTGTGGGGGATGATGATGTGAAGCCGTGGATGCGGGATATCGCGCCGACATTTGTTGTCTCGCGGGAATCGAAGGCTATTCATGGTATCGATTTCCATTTCAATGGTTGGGGTGCTAAAGATCACTCTGAGAGTAATCGTACGATTGCCCGTCATATCCTGCATGATCTCCAAATCCCCGAGTTCTCGACATCCCTTGTAGCGGAGGGCGGCGCTATTGAGACAGATGGCGAGGGCACGTTACTAGCAACAGAGTCCGCGCTGGTCAATCCCAACCGTAACCCGGACATGGATCGCGACGCAGTCGAAGACGAGTTGAAGCGCGTGCTGGGCATTTCAAAGGTCATCTGGCTCCCAGGTGTGGCCGGCGCAGATACGACAGACTGCCATATCGACGCACTGGCGAGATTCGCTGGCCCTGGTGTGATTGTTTTGAGCCGTCCGCCTCCCACGAGAGGAGAGGTCTGGACAACAGTGTACAAAGATGTCCGACGCATCCTGACAAATGCGAGAGATGCAAAGGGCCGCAGTCTGCAGATTGTGAATGCGGCTGAACCTGATATTAGCAGGATACAAGGAGCAGATGCTGAGATGATACCCAGCTACGTTAACTATCTCCATGTGAAGGGGGCGGTGATTGTGCCGCAGTTTGGGGTGCCCGAGACGGATGTTGGTGCTTTGGGGGTTCTGGGGGACTTGTTTTCGGATAAAGAGATTGTTCCTGTATATTTGTATGGTTTGCCTAATGCGGGTGGTGGACTTCATTGTATCACGCAGCAGGTTCCGTTGGTTGAGTTGGATACATAGTTACCTGTTTTGAAACTACTGGTCATTACGCAGATACCTCGAAGCTGGTTTTAAGGGGGATGTAAAAGTAGTTTCCTGGTACAACTCAATGTTACATGTCTTACATGGGTTGGATTTCCCGGATCTCTCCTGCAGAACCAACAACCAATAAAAGAGGCATTAAAGCAAGCATTTGTGCTGAAATGCACCATTTCACAGATGCATTGCACCGCTGACGCAGTCTCAGCCTGCTGTCAGCAGTCCTGCATCAGACACATAAGAAGAGCTAGAAGACTCCCAGATCATCTCACCTCCCAACTTCTCATACGAGTTCTCAAGCATACCCAAAGCTATGACAGTCAACACAGCCCGGCCCGCGAATGAGGAAGACTTTGGAAGCATCCCCATCATCGATCTCGCAGCATGGCGAAGTCCTGATCCCAAGGAGCGTCAGAGGTTGACGCAGGCTGGCTTCTTTTATATCAAGGTAAGATACCCTCGGTCTAGTCTATCCAAACAGAGGCTAATCAATCCTCGATCAGAACCATGGCATCCCACAAGACCTAATCGACAAAGCCCACGGCGCAGCCCAGCGATTCTTCGCCCTCCCAGAGAAAACCAAAATGGAATTCTTCATATCCACACCCCTCCCTCACCCACCAGCCAAGCAACGAACCCAATCTAACCGTCCAGAAATTTCACGGCTTCAGCCCCCTCTTCACCGAACTCTCAACAGGTATCGGCCCCAACGACATAATCCAAGACCAAGCCTGCTACTCCGAAGCCTTCGACATAGGCCACGAAATCGCCGGCGACTCAACCAAGAATCCCGGTACCTCTCTCCCACTAGACCTCTTCAACCTCTACGGCGACAACCAGTGGCCAAGCGAAGAGGCGGGCTTCCGGGGCGGGGGGAGGGGCTTTTTGAGAAATCATGCAGCGGCGTTGGAGTTATTGAGAGATTTGGTGAGGGGTTTTGCTGTTGCGCTTGGTGTTGGGAGGGAGTTTTTTTGAGGATAAGATGAGGGATCCGGGGTGTATGGCTAGGATGGTGCATTATCCACCGCAGCCGGTGGGGAAGGTTTTGGATGGGATTGCTGCGCATACGGTAGGCACACTTTTTGGGTTTGTTTCCTTCCCTCTTAGTCTCTGACAATGAATTGAGGCACTAGGACTACGAATGCGTCACCGTCCTATCACAGGACACCGTCCCGGGCCTACAAGTCCTCAACAACAGCGGACAATGGGTACGCGCTGACCCTATCCCAGGGACATTAGTCGTGAATATCGGAGACTGCCTAGCAATGTGGTAAACCCTCCCTCCCCCTCTCCCATTCCCAAAAGAAATCCAAATCCAAATCCAAATCCAAACCCTAACACATAACAGGACAAACAACCACTTCAAATCAACCATCCACCGCGTCTCAAACCTAACTGGCCGAGAACGCTACACCATTCCCTTCGGTTTCGGCGTAGATTACGACGTTACTATCTCTGTTCTTGGGAATTGTGTTTCGGAGGAGCCGGCGTGTACGGCGCCGGTTAAGGCGGGTGAGGTGAGTCTTCTCCCCTCCCTTCCTCCCTCTCTACCTCGAGACAGACGATGTGCAGAGACTAATTCGGATGGGAAGTATATACGTATGAGGTTATCTAGGGGATATGTGGGGTATAGGGCGCAGCTGCCGGATGCGAAGGTTGTGGAGGGTTTGCTTGGTGGTGGGAAGGGTTGAGGTTGTCGGGGAGTAGTCACTGTAACTGAAATTGATGATGCATACGGATCCCTTGGATAGTGCTTTGAAGCTTCGCTTCAGTCGAGATACTCATTACCAAGGTACAATCTACTGTGTAGAATGAAATCGGTTCAAGTGAACGTAAAAATCGAGTTGCATATTTATCCAAAAACGCTTTACATAGAAAACACAACATTCCTCCCATTTTCACAAAAACCAGAACTCAAAACATATTCGCCATGAATTAAATCCCATATAAAACAAGGGAAACATACATATATATATATATATATATACCAAGCGTCAAGCGTAAACTAACCAAGTATTAACAGAGAAAGCAATGAACCAAATCGCCAGCCCAAACCAGGTATCATAAATAAGAATCAAATCACACAAAAGAAACCTTATACCATCCATATCACTCCAGCCATGAAACATCAACTCCCGCAATAGAAGAAAAGAAAACAAGAGAAAAAAGTTTAGACGGCCAACCGTCTCTCCCAGCTGGTTCCGTCAACCAAACCATAACTGCCCATTTCTTCCTCAGTCGGAATCACAATGCCCCGAAACGGATCCATCATGTTGGCGTGGTCTTCCGGGGACATGTGCAGGTCCTGGAAGGCGACTCCATCGTCAGAGCCACCGGCCATGCTATCCTCAGAGTAGCTGAGGACGCTCTGCGATGCCATCTCCTGCTTCAGAGGAATGTCGCTGCTCGTGGCCGACCACGCCTCCGGAGACAGACCCTGCATGTCCTGCGGTGCTGTCATGGGCATGGAGGTCTGCGGCTTTTGACCACCATACTCGGCCGTGATCGAGGCAAACGGGCCGGTGTCTTCGCCGCACTCCTTGCCGCCGTAGATACCCGTGAAAATGTTCGAGTAACCACGATCCATGTCACTCAGCACAAACTCCCAATCTGCCACTGTGATGGCGCCGTTGGAAACATCAGAAGGCCCCGAGCAGGACATGGCCCGCGAATGGCTGTCATACATGGTCGACGAAGGAGCAACTGGATACGTGTCTTGGTAGTGAGGGCTGTGGATGTGCTCGGGTTGCACCGACGGGAGGCTGGTATGGCTCGAGGAACGAATGTGGCGATGGTCGATAGACGGGCTCGCGCCGGAAATGGTGGCCCGGCGGGACTGCGACTCCTGTCTCTGTCCCTGGTTGGGCATGCTGGCCGCCAAGCGTTGCTTCCAGGACTGCATCTGCTTCTTGGGAGACTTGGAAGATCTCTGAGCCGCTGCGCTCGTGTCTTGGGATTTCGCTCCGCCTTTACCACCGTCCAGCGAAATCAGGGTACCGGCCACGTTGCTGAACTCACTTGCCGCGGACGCAGACTCCGACGTCAGCTGGTCGATGATGGTGGAAAGCAACTTCTGGCTTTCCTTGGCGAGCTTGCTGTCCCGCTTCAAACCCAAGGTTTGCCACAAGAGACCCAATCCGGACATCAAGACAATTTCCTTTCGGCTCATGCTGACAGAAAGGCAGAGACGTCGCTCATCGAGAAGCTCCAAAATCTGGATGATGTGCTTGCTCGAGTCCGACACGGCCAAGACCGAAGGAGAACGGATTTGCTCATCAGCAAAGCAAACGGCGGGGCGATGGACCAACGACCGGATGTAGTAGTACACCAAAGACTGCAGACGTTAGTTATCAACCATGGCATTATAGTTAAAGTGTACTCACCAGAAGCGGCGAACGGCTACTCGTCACATTAGTGGCGGGCTTGTCCTGCGCAAACTCCAGGCGCAGGTGAGGAGGCAGGTTCTGCGCCCACTTATCTAATTGGTTCGAAGCGGCACGGAGCTTGGAAACATAGAGGTCGTATTCGGATTCAGAAGAGTAAAGATCGTGCAAAACCGTGTTCAGGATTCTCGAAGCGGCAAAAAGGGCGATCGCACTGGACAATCTCGTAGACTCGCCAGGTAGGGTGGGCAGGAAACCAGTTTCGGTAATGTTCTCATCATCAACGTCCTCAGGGTACTCGGTACGGATGTCCTCCTCCCGCAGGAGGATCGGCAGACCAGTCATGGCCGCAGTCAATCTGAAACCGTTAACGGCGGAACTCGGACAGGAAGGAAGTTCAAACATACCGATCTAGGACATATTGGCACCAGAAGATCTTCTTACGCGTCTCACCAATCAGGGGGTTGGTGATGTGCTTTTGGCTCTGATGCAACCGCAGCTGGTGGCAGATGCCAACCGCAATACCTCGGTAGCGCAACAAACTAGTGTAATCGGCCTTGGTCATACAATGGATCTGCGCCAGAATGAAACATTGCAAAGTCGGGACGGAAATGTCGGTGGAGAGCGACTCGAGGGTGGAGGTCCAATTCTTCTCGAAGAAAGCGGGGTCCTGGTTGGTCCTCGACTGGAGGGGGTTAGTTTCCACATTGCCACGAGAGATTTGACGGATATCATACGATTGAGGCCAGCGCGGCAATTCCAAAAATCAAATTCAACTGTGCCAGGTCATGAGGGGTGTTTTGCATAGATTCGGCGTTTGAGAGGTATTGTTCGTAAGCCTTAAGGACGGTCGGACGGTGGATCACCGGGTAAAGAGGGGCCCATTCCTGGAAGTAGATGCTGATGAGCTGATCCGAAACCAGCCGAGGCGGCGTTTCGATCGTCTGGTGTCCACGAATATGGCAAACGACGGGTGGGGATTGGGTGAGGAATTGTGTTGAGGCCTCGGGAGCGAGTTTTCCTTGGTCGTTCAATTTGCCGGTTAAAGCGTCTAAAAATATTAGCGGTGTGGATCTCGACAGTTCACAGTCTCTCGGTACTCACCAGTAAAGCCACGCGTGCTGGACAGTCCACTGGCAGTCGGAGCATCATCCGAGGAAGCCGTTGATTGTGACGATGGCTTCACGTGAATAACACCCTCTGCCGCATCGGACGCCTTCTGAGTAACACTATCTGAAGGCGAGCGCGCCTGCGGTGATCGTGAAGTAGCCTTCTGTTTTTGCTGTTGCTGCTGTTGTGATGGGGGCGAAAAAGAGTATATCCGGGACAGCACATCAATCTTCTCATCCTTCTCATCCAACAGACTCTTCAAATCGCGCGTTTCACACTCCAACGCTCGCACGCGTTCCTCAAGAGATTCTGTGTATCCCCGAGGGAAAGCTCGACGACTGAGCTTGTCGCTGGTTTTACATTCAAAACCGACGTTGGCGCACTGCGAACAGCACGGTCGGACGCCGTCGCAGCGGATCTTCTTGCTTCGACAGCGATCACACGCCTGAGCGATACGACTTTGACTGCCGCCGCCGACTTTGATGACTTTCATGGGCAGGATTCCAGGCATTTTGAAGGTCACCTGGGCATCCGCTAGTATGTGGTATAGCGGATCGTATGTGGAGGTAAATGTAGATTCGTCAATTCGTGAGAAACAATATAAACAACTTTCTTTGAGAGTAAAAAATAGAAGAGTGGAGAGGATCTAGAAAAATAGAAGCAAGAAAGAATAAAAGCAAGTAAGAAGAGAAGAGAGGAGAGAGAGAGAAGAGAAGAGGGAGAGGGGAGTACAAGTAAACCTCCGCCTGACTGGGAGAACTCCCGAACCGGCCAGGGGCGGCGGGTTTTTTTGGGCCACTGGAGTCACGGGAGAGCAGGCGAGCCAATCAGAGAGCGTTGCCCCACATGATTCGCTGCCATCTGGAGTGTAATTACCGTATTGTAATTTATACCTTGGTACGAGTACTTGAAGATTATTCTCTTTATTATTATTGCATTTTATTTGTATATGGATGGCAAAAGATAACAGTAATAGTAGAGTGTATTCTACTACGTACTCTGGTGCACTCTACAGAGTACACACAGCACCCTTGGAGAGGAGTGACGATCTTGACTTGTTGAGGATCTTCAACCGCCAGTCGATCCAGAGGGGCCCAACGCCATGGGAACAGGTTTTGTGCACCATACTCTATTGTAATAATATGTCTTATTGAATTCGGTAGATAGCGAGGGGAATCCGGGGGATCTCTATGAACTTGCGGGATCAAATCAGAGGCAACATTTTACATCTCATGACTATATCATGTACATTGCATAGTATTCTCATGGTACAGTGCATGGTACAGTACATGGTACATGGCATCGCACATGGCCGACCACAGTTGAAAGTAAAGCACCCGACTTGTACCGTCTTGGCTGGATCATAGCCATATCATCGGGCCAATTGTCAATTGCCACTTCCCCGGTCGTTCGCAGCGCGGGGGATCTAAGTTTATTGCTCGTTTATGCAGAAACAGGGATGTGATGATGTATGTAGCCTGTCCATCGTCATCATCCATACCAAACTACTGAAAATAGTCTGCTGCTACCAGATTTCTGGTTTTCCTTTACCAGATAGAATAATACATCGTACATTATTAGTGCAGACTATGGAGTACAGTAATGCAATACAGTCTCCAAACTTGCGGAGAGAACCAAACAATACTCCCACGTTGGCCAGCAAATCATCCACCACAAATTGGTCAAATAGACTCGTGTCTTGTAATCTGCAATGTCGTATTGGGTTGCGTTTGGGCCACATTGCGAGTTATGGCCGATCCCGAGTCAGCGCCGAGCGAGTTTGGACCGAGAAATGTACGGAGTGGGGTTGATCTGTCTATCAGAGTTGAATTAGGCAGGTCGTTTCGTGTTTCGTATTATTGTTCTTCGCGTTGCATGGTACTCTGTAAAGGCAGTATATATTGCATAGTAGTATAGTCTACTACATACTATATGATATCTCTACTCTATATCTCTACTCTATAATGACGTCGCGAATATCAAGCCTTGTGGAGATTCTGCATCAAATCCCTCCAGCCAATCATACAAGCTAGTTCACACGCTTTGCCCCATTCAGCCATGACGATGGTCTAGAATATACGCATTGGGATTAGCGTCAATTGATTTGGTGGGGTTTTCGTTTTTTCGGGAGGCTCCGGACTGTATTGGCTGTGGTACACATAAGCGCTTCCTGATCGGGAGTTTATTCTTGGATCTTCCCCCATCCTCGGTAGTTGTTTTAATGTCTCACTAAAATACCTTAGGGTATGCGCCACACTCTCTACGGGGTACCTCGGGACCTACCGCTAATTCTATTGAGCCATTCAGTCCTCCGGGTCCTTTCCGACTGCGGAGAGCGAATTGCTCCGAGGACCCCGGGGTATGGAGTATGGAGTAGGTCATGTGCCATGGAAGGTAGCATCATTTTGGGCATTGCAACAGGGCCAAGTTTCAGCGAATGGCTGTTGTTTCCAGATTTTCGGATTCGTTGGTGCGGTGAACATAAATGATCCTGGTATCTCGATAGACAGTTAGATGTCTGTAGACAAAAGGCAAAGGGTCGTCGAGTCACTACAGGCAGAGCATTAGTTTTCTATGCTACAACTATTTTCTTACAGACATCATACTTTGCCCCAAACAAGACTAGAGACTATTGACTACTAACATCAACACCATGACGACTAATCTACAGAACGACTAAAAAGGTGCCGTAGCTATCCATGACGATAGCACTGATGACCTCGCAGTACAGGCGTTATCGAATTCGTCCAGTTACTACATGTACACTTCCTGTCTTTGGCGACAAGGGGCAAACACAACGTCATGTCGAGAAGGATGAAATCCAGTCTGTCCAGATTGAGCGGGGTTCTCCTTCTCTCAAGTGATGCCCCTATGAATCTGCTTTTGAGTCCCAGAAGCTCCTTGAGGGCAATGGTTATGAGTGAACATATAGTCTGAGGAAAACAAGGATTCCACTTGGCTTGCCGGTACTTCAGGGTCAGGTTGATGAAGTGGCGAATGAGACTCTGGAGCAAAAGGAATACGTGCTGAAAGACAACCTGGAGATGGTGTTTTGGGACTTTCTTAATGACATGAATATACTGTATAAGTCAATGGCTTCCTAAGAATGAACCCGACTCCTTATCATTATTCAACAATGTACATAGTTAATCCTCTGCAAGTAATACTCCGCATCCAACTCTTGGCACATGCCAAGACTGACGAAGTAAGCAATCGTGAGATCGACTTCTCCTCGATCGATCCCAGCAAACATGCACAATTCATCCACCTCCAATCCATTGCAATCATTGCAATCATTGCAATCATGAAGCGCGAATACCTCTCCATCGAGAGCCTCCCCGTCTGGGCACGACTCAATGGCGTCTCCGTCTCCGGTATCGCATTCAAACGACTTCAAAGCGATGGAACCGACAAAGGATCTGCAATAATAGCGGAGGGGAAACAGGATTCTAGCAGCAAAGACGTGCTATTGCAAATCCCCTCCGATCTAATCCTTTCGCTGGAAGCGGTGGATACATATGCCAAATCCGACCGCTATCTCCGCGAGGTCTTGGAAGCGGTCGGGGGGTTTGGAAAGGTACTATGTTTCTTATCTAATTGACATTGACGTTGTGCCTGCATTCTGACAGATGTACAGACAGCAAGGGGTGCAATCCTTATCTTCCTCTTAATCCAACTCTCCTACTCGAGCCCGGACTTTGCGAACGAATCCCAACGAATCGGCCTCTCGAACCCATGGACCGAATACGTCAAATTCATGCCCCCGTCGATCCCCCTGCCTACAATTTATACAGATGAGGAATTGGAGCTCCTGCGAGGGACGTCCCTTGCATCCGCGGTGGATGCGAAGCTTGCCTCTCTCGACCGGGAATTCACACATTTGCGCGAATCCACGGACCGTATATCATGGTGTCATAAACATTGGTGGGATGGGGAGACGGGGCGGTTAACGCTCGAGGACTGGAAATATATCGATGCGGTGTATCGGTCGCGGATGGTGGATTTGCCTGGAATTGGGCATTCGATGGTCCCGTGCGTTGATATGGCCAATCATGCCCCTGAAAATGCTGCGAAGGCGCGATATGATAAGGATGCAGATGGGAATGCGGTTCTTGAACAGCGTGGGGGGAGGGAGCTTTCGCCTAATGAGGAGGTTACTATTTCGTGAGTTCCCTTTTTCACGTACTTTACGATCGGAGCACTGATGGGTGAAGGTATGGCGATGATAAACCGGCATTGGAGATGATCTTCTCCTACGGGTTCTTAGAAGGTGAACGAACCGATGCAAATTCATTAGTACTGGACGTGGACATCCCCGACGACGATCCCTTGAAACCCGCAAAGAAATTATACTGCAAAAAGCCCCCAGGCATGCGCCTCAACACAGCACCTGGCTCAGAAATCACCACCTGGGATAGCTCCTTAGTCTGGTGGGCCTGCGTCAACGAAGAAGACGGTCTCGACTTTAAGGTCCTCCAAACAACCACCGGAGAAAAAGAACTACGCGCAGTATGGAACGACGAACAACTAGGAGACCCCGACGACCTCGCTAGTCTGATATCGATAGACCCGCTCTGGGACGTCATCCAGTTACGCGCCGTCGTACTAATCCTAGAACGACTAGAAACACAACTCCAAACCCTTCGAACAACGGAAAAAGCAATCGGCGAGATTCGTCGTGAGGAAAAAGAAGATAACTTGCGGCCTACATTCCGGCCTGAGATCTTTCGGACGGTATCGAAGTTGCAGCAGTTAGAGGGGGAGTTATTGGAGAGGGGGATTGAGGATCTTACGCGGAAGGTACGTTTAAATATACCATGCCTCGTATCTAGTTCCCTGGAGTAGTTATGCTAACTTAAGCAGAGACAAGAATTGTTGACGTCTGAGGTGGTCATTTCTTACCTCAGCCAACAGGCTGCGGAAATGGGGGAGGATTTCTCATGAGTTTTGCATACTGCATTTATTCGGGCATTTTATTCTGTGTATACATTAGATGATTCGACGTAGTCATGAATCCACATTCTCTGCTCCTTCCAGAGTACACGAAGCTGGAAGTTGCAATCATCAACCTGGACACTGGGTGCAATTCATGTATATCAATATTGAACCTGTTAGTAGACAATCATAAAGATGGAAGTTTCTACAATGAAATGCGTGAATGCGTTTACGTGTCTCACATGACCCAGCCAGGAGCTACCACTTCTATTCCCTGTCCTCCCGTACTTCCAACCATCCTCCCCAATTCATTCTCTTACTATGCTATAACCTCTCCATCGAACTATATACCCTTCTTATATATACCCTCCATATCCATTACCCAAGACCAGATTCAGATTCCACCACGGTGTTCAATATATAACCGAAACGAAAAAAAAAGCCTCCTACCTCGTTCTATATATACCCAACTTAATTACAAACAACCCACATTGACACCCCCAGGACAGATAGTGCCCTCCGTCATCGGCAGTCCCACAAAATAAACGCCATCATATCATAGCAACAAGAAAGATGGTCAGTGCGAAGGATGCGAAATCAATACAGAAACAAGAACGGTCGGTTGGTCTTCTGAGGACAGGGACACCTGATGCCACCTTCCAAACATGTTGGGCGGTCTTTTGAAAGAGATACACACCAGACACTTCTGGCTTATAGCTAGTATTGATCGGGTATCATATTTGACTTCCAGGCCCGGGGAATGAATACTTGACTAAAGAGGCCTGGAGGGAGGGCGTTGTGGATCTCTTCCTCACAGCGAAGAAATGCGCCGAGCTTGTGCCCAAAGCCCAAACTTCGAATGGCGGAATGGGTGGTAATACGGAGTCGATCACTTATGGTAAGTTTGCATCTCCTTTACATGTTCGTTCATTGTGCTGTTTTGTACTAATGATGTTGCGATTTGATTTGTAGGGTCACAAGTACAAATGCTGTGCTCTACGGATAGTGGATGATGGAAAAGCCAGACATTTCAGCGGGGTTGACTTTCGAAAACACGGGTACATCCTCTAGAACGTACCTAGTGAGTATGCGGGAGACGACAGGAATGGCAGAAGGAATATGTGACCATAAGCACTGGGTGTGTGAAGTCGGCTACTGTTCTAGACCGTTTTAACGTGTCTTGCGTGCAGACTGATGTCTACGCCCTTGTGCAGATGTGGTTTATATTGGAAGTGCAGATAGCCCTGCTCGACTTTGAAGGAGCTGGGAAACGCTTGGGGAGGATGTCATGGCACTGCACCATAAATTCTGGGAGGAAGAATCGAGAGAAGTCAACGCAAGTCACAGCAGAGACATACGGGAAGCTAGTGCCACGGCCTACGGTAAAGGCAACCCCGTATAGAACAGCGGGAAGTCAAGGGGTTATTATTAGGCGAGAATTCTGACCTAGCGTCAGTCTTGCTTGGTGTTGAGCAGCACAAGGCCGGGGGATTGACTTGGTCGGGCCGTTTCGAATACATGCATGAAGTACCTACCTTGATGATGAGGCCTGAGGAGAATGGCTGTGCCCTATCAAGCCTAATAAAAGAAGTCTGGTTCCAGAAACGGGATGAGTTGGTTCAGGAGCAGGTAGATACTGGCGAGCAACACCCAGCTAATGAACCAAACCTAGCCCTGATGAGGTATGGTAGGTCTGTATTCCAAGGGTCATCTAACCCAATCATTACTGATGCATGTGCTTTAATAGATACGGAGTACGATTGGAGATTGTCGAAGCCATCTCCTGGATAAGATCTACGACATAGTACCGATATACTACAACTTTACGTCACTGTCTGCAACCCAGAAGTTACCACAGGGACTTATGGAATCCATGATGTGTCATATTCTTGTCTCTTCGACAGTCACTTGACTGGCTGTGGCGGGCTGGTCACAGCGACACTGAACCAGCTAGACATCTCGAGGCGTTACCAGATTGTCGAGCACCAATGACGAGGAGCATCAGACCGTGAGTGCCACGGATAAAGAGGAAAAGGCTGGGCACAGCATCCAAAACAACCTCCGCATATCTCGACGGGACTTCTACCGTAACTTCTTGATATTATTGAAATGAATATATGCTAGTCATGGAACGGAGGTGTTCGCAGCAAAACATTGCACCCCGACCACCCAAGCAAAGAAGACCACAAGAACCAATTCGACGAGCTAAATGATCAGGCGAGAGATATGAAGGCGGTTAAATGAATGGAAGAAGCCTATCGACGAGGGCTTGCAGCTGTTTTGAAGTCTCGTCGCACTAATGAGGTATATCATATTCTACCTTATGTCTTTATCATCAGTTCGTTGCTAACAAGTAGCAGACTTCTTTGAGCACAAATGATGGCGGTTATGCTATTCCCCGACGACAAACGCGACTTCGATATCCGAGATAAAAACGCCATGGACCTTTAACTTGGCGCGGCTGTTCTTCTCGAAACAAGATACCCGCGGCTCGTTTTACTTGGAACTTACTTCACGTCGACGTCCCCACAGTCCTCATAAATGCAGTACTGAAGGAGTCTATATTCATAAGACTCCTGGTTCCGACTAACGTATAATCACTAGTCAACCGGAAGTACTTTGCATGGGAGAACGGATCTGCGGAGCATCCAGAAATTCTTAGGTTGATGAAAAAGTATTCCCTTGACGTCGTTTATCTCGCCCTGGCAAAGCCACCAACAGAACCGAATGGAATCGCACCTAGAAATGCTGGTGGGAGCTAGCCTTGATGACTACATGGAACATATGCAGGAGCTAGAACAATCGCCCCATGAGTGGTATGACCTCGCTTCATCTTTAGACCGGATTCCGATGTACTCATACATTCAGCCATAGACAATCGTTCGAGCTGATATCCTGCACATGGTTCATATAATGCCATTCAGAACTAGCTCAGTTTGCTCCGATTAGCCCGTACTCCACATATCCGATGCAATCGCGAACAGTGTTCAATCAGAACATTTGAAACCAAGAGACCGCCATCCCGGAGGTCTGCTCTACCTTCTTCGATCTCACTACCGACGGTGGTAGTATGCCCATCATTCTCCCAACTCGAATGGTAGTAGCCTTGATTTCCTGCACGAACAAAATCACTTGGGGAGATATGGAGAGCGGACTCTCTTAACCATAAACAGCGGATGAGTGTACGATTTGCACAACACCGCCAATAGAACGGCAAACTGGTGACTCGTGCCTTGGCAGACACATATTCAGAAGGAGCAGTGGCACATCTATGCCTGTCCCACCAGAAAATAACGGGGAAGACCAAGATCTGGTTAGGTGTGAGTTGTCTCTCATCATTAGACTTTTCCCTCTTAGTCCTCATTCACTGACAATTTCTTTGCTGTCGCAGAGTGCCGGGTTTGGCATAAGCAATGCATACCCATAAAAATGTGCAGGATTCAATTTTCCAGCACCCTCGATACAGGTGGCAGAGTACGCAACATGACATGTGGTCAAGTACTCAGAACGAGTCATTCTGGGAATGGTCGAAACCCAGAGAAGAAAGGCTGTTTGCAATTCTGTCCCAAAACGAGACATGCCTTCACTTGTGCATGCTCAGCAGAACTTCTGGGAACGTTTCCTGAAATGAGACATCCTCCTGGGACCTGGAGAGTAGTTACTTGAGCGGCCAGCTCACCGTATCATGCCGTTGGATACTTCGAAAACTTACTATATCATACTACCAACGAGGATCAGCAGTTAAATGTCCGTGAGCGACCCTTGGTGTGACTATGTACAGGACAGAGAAGCGATAGAGGGGGTACAAAGAAAGGCTCGAATGCTGCTGGGAATCTCCTCTACATTTCGTTTTGGAAATGGTTTCTCTCAACTTGTCGTTTTGGGTCGACGATTGACATGAATGAGTACTGGGTTGAATAAATATACCAACATGATGACAGCCTGCTCGATGAGATCTTGAAAACGACAAGATGCGCCAGAAGTTGGGCCGAATCCAGATGGCGAAACTGGCACAAAGGCAATCAGGGACTTGTGCAATACACGCCGGAGAAGTCATTCAATGATCAACCATATGATGCGGCGGACTGCAATGTGCGGGGACAGACATAGTTAACAAGCGAGTGCAAATTCGAGCCACTTGGATGGGTAATGAGATCCCAGCGTCTGTCCAGGTGCAAGACCTAGAGCTTTTCTAGTCGGTTGCTTCACGCTACCTAAAGGTACTTGAAGGCTCCCTTCGGCAAGTTTTCTAACACTGGAACAACATGCATGTCGTTAGATTCAATGAAGCTATCTCTCCCGATGACTGATTTGGAACTGTTGGCCTATGGCTACCGTAGTTACAGTCCATGATTATATCAGATCAGCACTTGGCTGAGCACTATTGGCCCTACCCTATTTTGTCACACAGCAAATCGCTCGATGTGACCCGATCACATACCTTAACGTCCTGCTATTAAGAGACTATTCAAGCTCTTGGTTGATACTGCTTCCGGAGCCTGCAGCCCCATCACAAGAGGGTCGCTTAGTGGAACACGTGACAAGATTCGAGAAAGGGGGTCGACACCACAGCTTGATCAGAACAGGGGCCTGGACTCATACATTGTTCTGGATTTCACAATATCGGAATCGATGAAACCTCGCCCAGAGTATGGGCAACATCTTTCACGTGGTTCATGAAGGCCACAAAAAAGATGCACTCATGTGATGCATTTTTCGGGCAGCAGGCTTGTGCCTGCCTTTGACTCTTATTGTCAAAGCAAAAATCTCAAGATTGCCGGGAACATAGCGGTAGAAGTTTTTCCATACTCAGCTTGATCGCACAAGACATCAATATTGACAGCCTCCTGGGGCTCACTGGTAACAATCTGGAAGTCTTCAGTAACATGCCTGTCAATTAAACTGCTACAGCCCCTGTCTCAACTACAAATAATTACTGCAGAGATCTTAGTAACCATCACTGAGACTGAGACCCTGACAACCCACTGCAGATATGACTGGTAAGAGAGGTGCAACCCATGGACCTGCAATGGAGGCTGGGGAGGATCTGGGTACTACTGGTAACAACCAGTCAGTGACGAACACACATACTGGAAATGACAAGGATGGTGCTGAAACTCATAGTAACTTTATAAGTGAATATAGCGATGTCTGTTCGAAAAAGCATGCAGGTATAGAACCACTTGTTTGCAATCGAATGGACCCTTACCGGATACTGTATAAAGTACCCGGAATCATCATTGGAGCCGGTTTCATGCCAGTGCCATGTAAAGAGGCCCATGAGCTAGTTGAACCATTGGGCATCAATCAACTGGAACGACAGATCAGGTATAATTTCCGCTGTACACTCCCTGACACACAGACCCTGAACAGATTTGCCTTTTACAGGCTTGCTTTTTTGACCGTCTCACAGCATCACACGATATGGGACGCTCGAATCAAAGCTAAATAGGGCTCGGCAGGGATTCGTCTCCATCTGCCTGCATTTGACTAGGAGAGGGCCATCCGGTTACAGCGAGGAAATATTTAAGTCTCTACAGAGCCAAATGACCTGGCTCGAACAAACGGTGTCATACCAGTAGCCTCCTCTGAGGTAAGTGATTTCTGCTGTCGAACATATCTTCTAGTTCACTGTTAACTAGCCAGGCAAAACACCGGCATGCTGCAGACAGGCACTGAGGACCGGGTGAGGAGAAAAGATACGATACTGTGCGAAAACGCAACTTCATCCACGTCAATTTATTTGCTTCAGAAGAATCATGACCGTGTCTCTAAGATTCACGAAGGAGAATCCGCTGACCGACTCGCACTGGAGACAGATAGACAAATGTTGGAGATGGACCTCCGTACACTTCTATCGTAGGACCGAGTGGGGTTGGAAAGTCTTACATTATCTTAAAGCAAGAGCTGAAATACGTTATCTCTATATGGACAGACAGTCGCAATCCTTTAAATCCGACCTACTCCCGGAGCTCCCCCCTCCCCACGCGATCAATAAGAACGTCGACTATATGGTTGTGTTGCGGGTCCAATACACTATCTGCTCAGGATTGTGAACTTGATGTCAACTCAGCCGGCTCACTTGCATCTCAGTCTCACCACTGACAGTTACCTCCCAAGGCATTCCAGTCTTCATTGGTTTGGAGGCCAAACGCGACAGTGATTTCACCAAGGCGATGCTCTTACTCTATGTTTTCTTCACTAGTTACGTACATTTACAAGTTACATAAGCTGGGCCAGGCACTGGGGCACGATGCCCAGCTACCCGGGTTAGGGTTCATCATACCCTCGGAATTGAGAACGTAGCCCGGTGGAACGTTCGATGATGGAGCGCCAGCTCTGACCGATGAAGTCCTTTTTGGTTTCTCGCAGTTCTGAACGATTGCCAGATATCCTTTCGACGAAGGAATCTCACGCAAGCACCTTCTTCCCTGGAATAACCCAGATTGCTTTGCCGCTGTTTTGGCAGCTTGGGCAACGGGCACCGAGCATCTGGATTACAAGGCACGACTCGGGGAGGTCGGTATAATTCCAGGTACTTACCAGCGTTATGCCAATTAAGGGTTGCCTTCGAAGGACTGCTTCGCAAAGAGCACCGCCTAGGCAGTGTGTGGCTGATGACGAGAAACTTGAGACCGCCAAGGGCTACAACGAGCCAAGCATCCTAGATTGGGATCTGTTGAATATCGATTCTCGACAGGAAGCCAAACAGATTTTCGTAAGTCAACTACTATTTCAGCCTGCGACACCAGTCTTTCCACCTCACTCCCTCTTTCTTTACGTTCCATGTCCGTCCTGGATTCCATCTAATTCTGCGAATCAGAGTCATCCGCGACATTAAGAAGTTGCTAAAACGCGTTGTCAAAAACGCGTTGTCAGACTACAAGTTTATCTACACCGTGGTGTGGAACCTGAAGCTGTGGAAATGGCTATCTGGACTACAGATTTGTATCTTGGAGAATTTCGTCCTACAGCTTGGAGATTCGTTAATGGCCGCCGAAGTCCCAAGACAACCAGACACAACATTTCCGTTGCATTACGAGACAGCTGAGATCCGAGCTCTCGAGGCCAAGGCACATGTCTCGTTGCTATATGAGACCGGGAATAAGTCGCTCGACCCGGTACTTTCAACCTCTCGACCTCTGCGCCAGCGACTTTACCCAGCAGCTAAGCGAAGCAGTGCCGGACCAGAATCCAATAGAGCCCCCTTATAACCCTCTTACCATAGGGAAAATGGACATGTTGCAAATTGGTAACAACAGGGAGTTTGGCCTCTCCAGCCTGACCATAGAAGTGATCGAGACGCCAGACGTTGTGTGCATAAACAGATGTCAATACAGGGCTGATTGTTACTAGACACAATGTTCTATCGTTGCGACGATGTTCTGATAATACAGAAATGAGCCTCGTCATCTAGGTCTATCATCTATAATGGATGACTTGCCGCACTGATATCCCTCGCCTCGATATCCCTTCGAACGACGACAAAATTGTGTCCACAATTGCCATGCTGCGACCCCTACATGACCGGGAAGATCTACTGTGGGTATGAATACGCGCGTCAGTGATGGATACAATAAACAACGCGGCGACAGTGGATTCCCTCAAAAGACCAGCTCCTTGAGTGGTCGAATTTCCACCAAGAAGTTGAAATCAAGTTAGCATCGGCAAGGCATAGCAATTTACGCTGGAGTACATCAGGCATTACGAAGTGCCGAACCTGGTCTGAACAAGTTACCCTCCTTCGCTCAGCGTCACCGCCAGGTCTTTGACCCTGAGTCCTCCGCGGTCCTTGCCGTCCTTGCCCGTGAGCGAAGCAGCAAGTCTGGTGAGCACCAGGACGATAGGAGCGAAGAAATTGATCCGTCTGCCGACAGCCACAACTCGAGCGAGGAGGAGGAGTCCAAACCGCGTGACACGCACATGAATGCCGCCCAGACGGACCCAAAACCTCGACGCTCACCCAAAGCGGTACCTACATAGTCTTCACCGACTCCGAAGAAGCGGAAGCAAAACGACACTGGAGACTTCGCTACAGATGGACTGGAGTGTGATGTCTTTGCAGCAGCGATCGAACGGACAATTGGACCAAAATGAGATCGTCTCTGTTTCCCTCAGATTTGTGGCCTTCCAATGTCCAGCGTGAGATGATTTTCATGCGAGAATCCCTACATACAAGTACAACGAACAGCTCCAACAGCCCAATGTGGAAAGGCAGAGGATAGACAACAATAAGCTAGTACATCAACATAATCCAATACAACTCTTCTATTCTGTCTACCTTATGGAATATCCTTGTGGAATATAGATAAAATTACCCCATAAAATCACTCTTCTCAACATCATCCGCCTCCCCAACCCCATCATCCTCCTCCTCTCTCCAAGGTCTCTTAATCTCCTCACCCGGCCAAATCCTCCCATACAACTCCCTCACAACCCCCCACTCATCCTCATAATCCCAATACCCATCACTCCTCAACCGAAACTCCCCCGGCGCAAGCATATACGCCCTGAGCAACACGCAAGCAACAACCTTATCATACGGCCTCCGATTCGTCTTCACATTCCACTTCCGACTATCCCTCGACAGGATCAGATCTTCGTAACCTTCGTCTTCGACACCGTTGAGCTTTATGCCCTTTTTTATGTCGACTAGGGGCGGTTGGGGCGGGATTTCTTCGTCGGTTGTGTCTTCTGCGTCTGCCGGGGTTGTGGTTAGGGTGGGTCTTCACGTTGGAGGGGGATTTTGGCCGTGGAGATTATGGAGGGGACGTCGTGGATTAGTTGTGGCCAGGCGCGGGTCCATTCGGGGGAGTCCCAGTTTTGGATGTTGTAGTAGTGCGTGTATCTGGTATGCGTTAGCATGTGCTTTAGTGTTGGTGTAGGGGCAGTGTGTGCTTACCCCATGATCGATAGCTAGATAGCACTTAGTTTGATATTAAGTTGGATTAGAGTGATATAGATACCTGGTATAAATCATTTAAACATAGTAGATCTAACGGCTTTCCACTCCGTCGGGCCCATAACCATGACCAAGCAATGCATCATCTAGCCACCACCATGGCCAAATGATGGAGAACTAACTATAGAATACATCCAAGTACATTCAAATCCTACCATACTATTATACATCTCCATATTATAATACAAGTACACCGTACTCGTACATACTCGCGAATAGTCTCATATAAGCATGCATAATAAGCATGTGGATCCCGACCGATCTCAGTGGAACCAAACACGCGTGATGATATCATGATTCGCTTCGCTACACAACCCGTAACTGTATTATCCGTATTTCAATACAATAGCTTTATTGTATTGTATTACATCACCTATGTGTATACGATACATACGATACATACGCATATGGAGCATCGATAGAACAGAGCACGGGCACGATGGAGCCGTTTTCTTCAGGGGTCAGGAGATAAGTACATAGTGTAATATATGGGGAGATTATATAGTTTAGTTTTAACTAAAGATAGCTTATTTGATTTGAAATTCTCGGCGGTTCTGTTTCGGTTTCAGTTTGTATGCATCTCGGGGATGTAGCTACTAGCCACTGCACCGCCATAGCCCTACGATCCGGGGTATTAGTTTAATAGAGTAAACAGTGATATCGATAATAGTTATTAACATTCTATGTGTAAGCTATTTGTACAATTCCCATAGTATACAATCCCCAGTCTTTGTACGAAGAATCCAGTCTGTACACCATGCCGACCCAATGCAACACAATAAACAATCTCAGGCGTACATGCAACACCTGCAGTGTCAAACAATATAGTACATAGAAGGATTAGCGAAACGACTTCATAACATGATCATGACGGAGCCAGTCTGCCTGCCCAAACGCGGATTTTTTTAATGCAACACAAAAGCGAAATCTAATCCCAAAATGCAAAAGAATAAAACAATGCTCGCTTGCGACCCGAAAACGAAACAAAATAGAAATAAAAGGAAAAATCATTAAAGGTCTAGGAAAAGTAAAATGACGTAACGCGTGCTCATCGTTTTCCCCGTAAATGTTGGGGAACCCATTGACGTCATTGCGAATAATTCCAGGTCATACCTGAAACGGAAGGTCTACCCGCAGATCCGGACCCATCAGCGATCTCTTCCCAAAGTGAACTAGTAATGACGTCAAAGGCTTTAGGTTATCCACATTGCGTCATAACATCGATCGATCAATGCAGGACGTTCGCTCGGACCAAGAGGAACTTTACTCTCGGCCTCTGCGTCGCTGCTTGCCGGGCCAATCGACTTCAGGGTGCACCACTCGCATATGTCGGGTCAGTGCATCGTTCCGCGAGAAGGTCTTCTCCTCAGTACAGAGGTGACAGCGGACCTTTTGCTTACGTGCATTGTGAATCGTATCCTCATGTCGTGTCAAATCGTAAGGTCGAGAGAACACCGAATTGCATGGCTTCCCCGTAGATGGGTTGACCCGTTCGCACTTGTGGGGTCCGGCCTGTGAGTTGCGGGCCGATACATCCCGCGTCAGAAGGTGGCCACCGGGGGTGGTCTGGCGATGAGCTTCACGCTTGTGCTTCTGGAGCTTGTTGGGCGACTCAAATCGTAGGGTACAGCCATGGTAGGTGCACGTATAAGTGCCGCTGTCAGAAGACGTATTGGCCGGTCGCGAGAGGCCCTTGACCGTAGGAGGCGCTTGCGGCGGTGACATCTCAGTGCTGGGAAGTCCTTCGCTGCCAGTCGACTCCAGGCTCGGTAGAGACGCAGGGAATTCAGGGGTCTGCTGCAACATGTTGTTTTGCTGCTGCGGCTGCGGCTGCGACAGGCGTCGTTCATGCTGCGGTGCTGCCTGGGGAGCTGCAAAGGGGTATTGCTGGGGCACTCCTGCAGTCGGGTACTGACTGGGATACGACTCCATGGTGTTGAAGTTCTGCGGCTGTCGGAGCGATGAGGAGCTTTCACGTCGTAGATGGCCCAAGGCATCACCCAAGTTGAAGTCCGATTGATTCGAGAACAGCGGAGGCATGGCCGCATCCTCGCCCTCGTTGAAGTCCAAAAGCGCATCCTTGGGGGACATGGTCTTGGGCTCCCCTGGGGCAGTCGACTGGGGCATGTGCACGCCGTTCTGGGGGATAGGAATACTGGTGTTGAGCTGTGACGACGGTTGCAGAGCGGCGTTGGTGAACTCTACTGCCAGAGGCGAGTTCTGCCGGAAGGGAGATCGTTCGCGGTTGATAGACTGTCGTGCAGACAAGTGGCCTTGGTTGGCCGCCTGGAGTCGATCGGCAAAGACGTTGCGGTAAGGGTTGAGCATCTGTTGGTTGCTGCTAGGCTTCTTGGAAACCTGCGAGGCGGGCATGATAGCCGTGTTGTAGAGTTCATCTTGGTAGATATCGGAAATGGTGCGATTCAACTTTGGTATCCCCATCGTGCTTCCATTGTTGTTGAAGTTATTATTGTATTCTGATCGCGGATCGGGTTGTAAGTATTCATTCATCCACGTGTCAACACCGAGAGATAGGTCCTCACCATTGGCCATCACCTTGGACGCATCGTCGAGATCGTCATAACTCGTTTGAGGAGTCACTGGGGAGTTATGGCTGACAGTCGACACTGAAGGCGCCAGTGAGTGATCACTGCGCTGGTGCTGGTGCGACCTTTGCTGTTGCTGTTGTTGTTGTTGTTGCTGTTGTTCCAACATGGCATGTCTCATCGCGATCTCTGCATCCGAATTCCCATTCTGCGACGATGGGTCGTAGCTCTGGAAAGGTGCTGCAAGGAACGAGTTCTGGATGGGAGTCTGAACGGGTGTGGGAAGCGGCTTGGAAATGGGCGCACTGCTACTGCTGGATTTCCGATGGGCATTCTTCGTGTTAGGCGATGGTACCCGAGGGAGGCCGTTTGCTGAAACGTGAGCCGGGCTCAGCAGCTGCAGGTTGCTGTCCCAGCCGTGGTTGTTGGTCACAGGTTGCTGTTGCGCTAACATGGAAGCGTCGTCAAAGAAATAGGGTTGTTGGTAATAGTGGGACGATGGTGCAAGATAAGGTTGCGAAGCAGGTGGTGACGTAGACTGCTGAATCTGGATGGAGGGGTTGTAAGAAGATGAAGGTGTCATCGAAGGAGCCTCGTAAATAGAGCTGTTGTTGCTGTTATCGCCGGCAGTCGAATAGTCAGTCGCGACCGGGTTCGGAGGCGACGATGCCGGCGAGGAGGAAAAGGAGAAGTTGGGCGATGGAGGCGCAGAAGAGGGTGGAGAGACGAAGTGGACGTCAGGAGTATATTGAAAAGGAGATTGCAATTGAGGCTGGAAGCAGGCGTCGTGGGGAAGATCGGGGAGGAAGTGGTCGTCTTGTAGGATGTGGACAGTGTCGGGATGGTAGACAGCGGAAGATGGTTCAGTGATGAGACCTTTACGTACAGTCGTAGGGTAAGTGAGCATAATGTTTCTTGTTTCGGTGATCCACACGGAGAGGGAGTGTGGGACGTCAGTGTCCGGGGGAAGAGTAGGTGGGCGAGAACGCGGCGAGTTTGCCACCAGTGCAGCAGAGGAAATTTATAGGCTGGCACCACCGGCCCTTAAGCACCAAGAAATCCGACGCGTTTCTTTGCGAGCTGACCCGGAAACCAGGTAATCAGAGACGTCTGGTCCGGATTTGAAAGCACACGGCGTTGGGGAGGCGGAAGACTCTGGAACCGTCGGGGCTAACCAAAGATCCAATAGGACAAAAGGAAGTGAATCCGTGGAATTGTAATTATCTGGGAGATTCTTTGGAAAGTCAGTCCTGCTTTCTTGGCTTCAATGATGAAAAAGAGTCGAGACAAGCTGGTAACCCTTCTCTGGTTACTCGTCCACAGAACCAAGGAAAGGCGTCTTATGTAATAAAGGAGGGAAGAAGAGATAATCACTTACCCTTTTGGAGATAGGGTATATCAAGAAAAGAATGGACTTTGAGAGTGATTATGTGCAGGTCGTGTATAAAGAGAGGAGGGAATGTATCAGGATGATGTGAAGTTCTGGCAAAGAAGGAAATCGGTGGGAGATATACCACTGATCGATGGGGCTATGACATCAGGTCTTGGCGTTTATTCGACTGCCGTATCGCCGAAAAAGAAAAATTAAAAAAAATTAAAAATTGCTGAGTCACTAGTAATGATATAAATTACATACCATACCGTACGAGGATCTACATCTGGGGTGAAAATTTTTCTCATTGGTGGTTGGGCAGACAGTGCCCCACCTAATTAGTTACCTTAAAAGGGGTCAATGCGGTTGACTCCCAACACACCAGCCACGATACGGTAATACCGACTATACGTGTTCCGTATCAGTACATTTTTGACGGTAGTTATTTTAGGCGCAGAGTTAGGAGCTTTGGGTCGCACTAAGACCATCCCCTAGATTCTCGGTTGGTCCGAAGTTTTTAGGGCTATGCTGTTTGTTCTAGAATTGTCTAAGTTCTGCATTCTTTTGACTCATCTACTGTAGAGATAGTAGAGAATGCAATGGAAATTGAATTAGCAATCAGATCTTACACAAATCATTATGAAAGATAGTACTCATCGTAGTGGGACTCATAGTACGGAGTAGATGACTCGACCCCACCAGAATCAGAACACAAGGCTGCCAATGAAAAACTGAATCATCGACTGAGCCACACATTCAGGAGATCCGATCTACAGGTGGCAGCCCTTACTGGTCGCATTGGATCCTGTGCCTCTCCATTCAAAGTAGGCCCGTACGATGACCCTTGTAAGAGTGCTCCATACTGTATTGTAACAGCACAGCTTTCTTCACACTTCACTAGCCACATGTATAGTGCTGCGCCACATATGGCTGATGAATCAACGGTTTCCCGGTTTTCCCATATCGAATAGACGTTATCGATCAACCACGCTCATCCACACGGCACTGCACGATGAAAAGCTCATTCACGGATTTGACCGTTACAGCTGTCCTTGAAAATCCTTCTGCTCGAGTACGGACGGCCCTTGCGGCTGCATTTTCATGTGAGAATCAAGCCACCAGTCACCAGTCACCAGCCACGAAGCAGTGACGATCTCGGAGAAGTCCCGGAAATATTTCCTCCGATCCGATGCCGAGCCGGCTGTCTAGGCCGAACTATGCATATCTGCACCGTCGACTCTCACGGTCAGTCCGAGGAAGTTCACGAATACGGAGTCACGGAGGTACATGCTCCGGATACTCTAACAGTCGAATCGATTGGCATTGCCTATTTCAGTTCGTAGATGGAAAGTGATCGCGAACCAGGTCGGCTGACTCCGTCTGATCTGACGATGCTACGACGTAGAGCAGACGGTCTGTGGTCCGGCTTTGTTGAGTCAAGACGGCTCAAGAGTCGTTTTGGGATAGTCTGCCTCGTCTAAAATGCAGGAAGGTCACATGCGATGTACAAACACGGATTACTCCGTAGCATCTGCCTGGGGAAATATAGCCCGGGGATATATCTCTGGCGGACAAGATGGTGCCACCTGCACTCTGCAAAGCCTACACTTACAGCTGTCAAAACGCACGTACCTGGACCGAGAACCAGGTGAATATAATCAATTGACAGCTGAAAACTGTGGCGAGATGGAGACTTTGTGTGGAGCCGAAACATAGAGGCAACACCCTATAGCTAATAAGAGTGACTATGCCCGCTCCTGCGTCCTCAGCCTGAGCAAAGCTGAACACAGCCGATCTGATACATATAGCATTGACTTGGCCATAGTGCAAAAAGTTTGGGGAAATCGATATACTACTCTGTACACTACGCACGGAGTACTCCGTATCTCACCCACAAAGAAAACGGTTGACTCGTGTACAACCGCCGAACTCAACAAAATCCAAAACAGAAAAAGAACCAGGAATATTGCCAGATACCGATTACAGGCCTATTTCACATTCCCTTCCGATTAACCGAAGTCCAAGTGTCAGCACTCTAAATCCCAGACAAGCTGCAGGATTGTTGGAATCTGCAAGAGAACAAAATTTTTCCTTCCATGCTTACGCTAAACACGGCATCGGATCCGATATCGCCCGCTGATTGGGCAGATCTCCAGCACCGCCACGATAATCGATTCGAGATCTCCGCGCTACGGTAACATTCTCCGTATTTCACGCCGTAACGAGCGTATGTAATGGCACCGCATACCCGGAAAAACTTAGCGTCGGTCTTCACCGGCCACACAACCCTTCGCTTGGGTCTTCCAAGACCCTTCTGGAAGCTTTCTAATTTTGTCCTGCATATCGACTGGGCCAATCAGCGTGGCTCGGTATCGGTTACGGCGAATGCTCGGTCCGATGTCAGTACTAGTGCAGTGCAGCATTGCATTACAGGGATTCTTTCCTTACTTTGTTCGGCCGTCTTTCTATCACCTGGACAGGACTAGTGATGAAAAAATTTTCACGCCGTCGCAACGTGGCCTGATAGTAATCCCTCGAACCGCCTAGAATCCTCGGCCAATTGCCCAGATCAGGCTGTGCAAAACTGAATGGAATGTCTCCGATCAATGTTGATATTGATATTGAATCGGTCCGTGGTACGTCTTATCGGCCCGGTCGATCCTCCTCTTTTCGGTAGCACGGCCATGCCTGAAGCAAAGAACGGAATACCCCGTGCTCCGTGCTCGTCTACAATTCCCAATCCATACTTCAGAACGACCTGTCAAGGGATTGGGCACGATTATTCGAGCATTATGTTGCCCAACCTGTCAATGCGTAGAGGCTATGTTGATGTTACCCCTTGGGCATGGAACTCCGGTTTTTGGACAGCCGAGGTTTCCTTTCAAGGATATGGAATGGTCAGGTGAATTGAGTATTCCGTAGTCGCTCGTCTTAGCGACCCTTGGCAGTTTCTTTTTTTTCCTTGGTACGATTTGACTCACAATGACTGGTGATGGTATCACATGACCAGCATGAACCATCACCTGACCAGATATATTTTTATCGACTCACCTATACACTAGCCACAAACCTTTCATGTTTTTTCCGAATACAAGATGCTAATTGCCAAATAATACAACTAAGTAAACTTCCCCGGAAACGTACTCGTACTCGCTAACACAAGTAAAACATGTCTCTTCCGTCCGTGGGGGAGCTATTAATAGACCTCAACGGTCGATGCTAGTCATGTTACCGAGTTTTTAGTTGACAGTTAGTGAGTACGACCGTTTTCTCTGAATACGGCTATTTCAGTTGGCGGTTACTATCTAGAGAGATTGTGTTACGTGGTACGATTGGGGCATGAGTCAGTGTTGTCGTGGGTTGTATTTTCATCGCGACTGCTGGGCAAACAAGGCAGGACGAGTCAGAGTGATGCTAGGTACAATTATACTCAGATAGAATGGCTTGCTTGCTGCCTTGGGTATTACAGTAGGGAGTGCACGGTGATTTAATGTATGGTGTAAAAACGTTTGGCTTTAAATTAGCATAATTACATAATTGCTTACTATCAGCACACCGAGAGGATTTCTAGTAAGAAGAGCGATAATCTCGGGCCGGTTTCTTTTGATAAATGCCCTTACTGTACAACAAGCCTCGTGCGTTACCTCTCTGGCTGTCTGTTTTGGGCTTATCCGTCGGGGGACATCGAGATATTCTATCCCGATATGACCCATACATAGGGCTTATACACCCTCCAACGACCCCACCTAAGCTATACTTGCTCTAAACTATACATGCCATTTAATTTATACATGAATCCAATCATCACAAAGAACACATGGAGGGGAGGGATGGCCAACTTGTCACGCTGTGAACGTCCGTCCAGAGGCTCTACCACGAGGCTCGTAGGCTCTACTCAAGGACACAGTCTATGATATAGAGACCGTACAGACCGAGCTCGTGACTGTCACGGGCTCGGAAACTAGCAGATAAAACGAATAATATTCATATCTGGACTAGGTAGCCTAACAACGAGAATATCGAATCTGGGGAAGAAGAAGAAAAGGAAATCTATCTAGGCGATGAACGGTCTTTATAGGCATTTGTGTGGTGCGGCTTAAGCCCTTGTTTGCCCATATTGCTTGTATGGCATCGTTTGATATGTTGGCGCTGTTTGTCTGGCGTTGAGCCGTTGAGCCGTCACAGTGACTGTCGATGATTCTTCTGCTCCCTCCCTATCGTCACTCACAATGGACAGCATGGTACCAAGATAGTGAGTCCAAGTCTGCACTCACTTTGTCATCCTGCAAAAATGAGACCTTCTCTTTTGCCATGGCCGAGACATTCGCCTTGGGGTCCTTGAATTTGGTTGGGTATCATGTCAAGTAACAGAAACGTTCTGACACTTGTCGTTCTTCTTAGGTGCTGAGAGTATCAGAGAGTTTCTTGGTCTCGTACTATGTTCTCATTTCAAATTGGATGGATTGAGGGCGTGCTACACGGCGTGCATGTATAGCAGAACATCCTATCCCCGAGGACTCAGTTTGCCGCTGAACGGTTTGTTCCATCCGTATGACGGCCCCAAATCACCGTCAAAACAACCTAGGTGTATGTATGGCTGGGGGTCTTCGAGCCAAATCCTTTGTCGTGCTCAACTGCTTGAGATCTTCGTCCGCCCAAACCAGGTTGCCACCATCACCGCACCAAACTGCCTCAAGCCATTTCTCCAACAGTTCGCACATGAGTCTGCCAAAGCCCTCCCTCCTGATGGGCTTTGTACCAGTCCAGCCTCCACGGTACATCCTATGCATATTGGAATGCAGGTTCAAGGCGAAATACAAAATTTCAGGGCCTTGTTTGATGCCGCTTGCAACTGAAAATGGAAGGTTATGATAACCCCAAAGACATCTTGCTAAATAGATGCTTGTGGGCTGGACATTTGCCCTGGTAAAGTGTATGTCCCAAAAGACATCATCTCTGTGGGTGTTTTGTTGCAGAAGAAATGGCTGTGCCTGGGGATCAGAATGGCTTTTATTGTTGAGGATGCTCTCTCATGTCACGCTTTGTTCCAGAATGAGTCTTTTGAGCTCTTTCTGAGTTAGGTGAATGGTGGGAAATAAATTGGACGACGATGAGGAGGAAAAGACAATGTTGGCTCGGAACCCGGGACTCCCTTGATTTTGTTAACAAGATGGCGATAATATTCACTGTCATTTTAAATTTTCACTTCTTCACCAATGTCGCTGCCCAGTCATTCGCATGACCCATAAGCTCGAGATTGACTTCCGCGTTGAGGCAAACCAATAATGTAGAACAATGAGTCTCTTGAGTGGTAGAAATCACACAGAAAAGAACTATTGATGGTAGATCTATGAGGAGCAAGAGATGTAGATATACAATAATGTACAATTGTATGTTCATGAATATATCCCGAAGCAAAACTTTGCTATAGAAATTGATGCATTATCACAAGTGCCAGTCACTGCTAGCAATATCTCTTCTGGCTATTAAATAGATGTAAAGCACACAAAATAGTGACTTCCTGTACACGCATTGACAAAGGGGATGAAGGGAATTAAGAGTGACAGAAGAATGATGATACCAGCGTCAGACTGCCTAATAGCCTGAGTTGTATCGATCATGAGGAAAGAGAGGGGTATATATTTTTCGTAAAATGCAAAGTTCCACCGGTCAAAGATGTTGTTGTAAAAGCCCGAAATAATATACAATGGTCTCCGGAGTGTAGTTCGGGAGAAACCATCGAGTCTCGACGCCAGCGCTGAGACGGTCTGATAGTTCATGTGTATGTTCATAGCGAAGGAAAGGAGAATGCAGCGTGTGCACTAGAAGCCTAGGAGTCGAATATTAATATCGAGATATGCAACTATCAATCATCCAATACATACCTAGGACTGACGACGCCCATGGTCGAACGACAGACCATCCGAATAATCCCGCTGAACCTCCACATTGGTCGAAATATGCGTTTGAGCGAGAATCTTCCCCTCAGGAATGATGATTCTCTCTTCGCTCGAGTTGCTTTGGTATCCCGTGTGAGTATGAGTCCCATAATCTTGATCATCATCTGCAACCATCGTGCCCAAAGTTATCGCATGCGGGTCGCGAGCTTTCGAAAAGTTCGAGCCGTACCCGTACCGTCGACCTTGTTCTCCGCTGTTCGACCATGGTCCGTATTTCTTCTGACTGCTGTATTCGCCAATGATGCGGGGAAGGAAGCGGGAGGCAATCGCCTTGAAGGATGGGATGGAGGCGGCGAAGATTCCGACGTTGGTTTCGATAACGGACCAGTACATGGCGCCGCTGATCACGTAGGTCGAATCGGGGGAGCTAAGCATGGCTGGGATGTAGGTGATTCGGATGATGGACGAGACACAGGCGCTGGGATTGTGTTAGGGTAGTTCGCGCATGAAGACGGTGTCCGGTAAGTACTCACAATAAACCAAGCGAAAGGGTAAAGACAAGCGCGATCTTCTGCTTCCGCGGAATCTGAAGGTTGAAGATAACTTTGATAGGTAGCGTGTAGGTCAGAACATCGGTAAAGATGTTGAGAGCAGCATTGCAGAGATAGAAGACGTTGATGTCGACGCAGTGGCCAGGCAAGGTGGTTGCCCAGGCCTTAGCCACAGGTTGGCATTGAAACGCAGCTACTAGGACATTGGCAGTAGCCTGCGCCGTGACAACCCCGAACATGATGTAAGACAAGCGAGTGAGATAGCGATCACCCAGTCGAGTGTAGAACCAGAGCACGGAGGTCTTGACGAATCCTAAGCAAGCCAGGTAGAACATCGAACTCAACCAGACCGACTGAAAATAATCAGCAAATAACACAAATACCAAGAAGGAAAATTGAGTCATACAAAAGCGTATGGCATCAGCTTGCTCTGGTCGACGTCGTCCATGTGTTTTCCCATTCCGTTCTCGACACCTGCGCCTTGTCAGCCTCTCTTTCTCTCCTTCCTCATCCACTCCCACCACCAAGAAAAGGTTAAAGCAACTTACAAACTAAGGTGGCTGCAATAAAAGCCCAAGACAGAAGCTAATCAATCCATCAAGTTAGTCTAGGAAGTCCCCTTGCCTAAAGCGTGGTTGACAGGAACTCACACAAGCACCAATAATCAAGACTAACGAAGAATGTCAGTATTCCACACCCAAAAACAGCCACACTCAAGATTGACTTACAGTCATCTACACTCATCTTCCCCAGCACATATATTCGGGCAAACAGACGGAGAAAAATGACGAGGAAGGTCAATACCGCGAACCCAATCGAGATCCCAACAAGCACTGGGGCCTGCGATTCTTCCACACTGGACACCATGGCGAAAGATACCTCCCAGATGAGGATGTGAAAATGTCGTGCAATAAATTATGCCGTTATGCTCTCTTTCTTTCGTTTTCTGTGTGTTCTGGTCTCTGACTTGCAAGGGACCGACTTCACATTCTTCGCAGTGGTTAGGCTGGGTCTCGAGATGAGTAGCGCTCCACGGGAGGATACTCTATGAATGAACTGACAGACTAAAAACAGCAACGAACTTGGGAAGAGGAAGTCAGAAAGGAAATAAAAAGAATTACAGTTTGGTGGAAAGCTTGATCGGATGTGTACCCTGCGTGTTTGCGACTAGAAAGGCCATACAGAGTACATCTTGGTCCACTTCGCACCGACACTGCCAGCATCCAAAGTACAAATACACACATCCGAAGCTAAACAGAAAAAGAAAAAAGAGGCAATAATATTCCGTGCATGCGCTCCTGAACAAGTAATTCCAAAGCATCGGAATTTACCCAGTGCCATTTACCGGCACCTTGTCCTTTTCAGGTGCTGGATTTGCAATCCTGATACCTACTAACTGCTCTAGCGTGTGGCCATTATGATCGCACCGCATCGTCCGTATCCTTCACACGTCTATTGTTCCTACGGAGTACTCGCGAGTCTGAATGGGGGCAAATGGGGCAATTCGCTTCTCGAATGGGGGCCGGTTCCCCTGTTCCTTTTCGCCATCCAGGATCTCGGAGATTCGACCAGGGGAACAAAGAGAATGATTCGGCTGGCCATGACTTGAGACGGCTTCTGTGCCGTATCCACAGCTATCTAGGCAAGACCCATATTGAATCCTTCGTTGCAAAGGCCGCTGACGAGTAAAACGCCGCTGTCCTATGTTCCAATAGCGGTCGAGGCCGCAAAACCTGATCCTTGACGACGCGGTTGAAACTAGATCCGCGGATCCCTGACTCCTGCAGGACACATGGGGGGTCTATACTCCATTCTTTCAGTGTCAGAGTACTCCGGACTCCATACTCCGGACTACTACTACTCCCACCCTAGGCTACTATTTGGCCTCTGCAGATCGTTGCCTGCCGGGACCACAGCAGGAATGGGTGGAATATGCAAGCAAGAAACTGGGATACAAATGGTGAACCAGGTTTGTCCCAGTCCGAAGGTACAAATTCCGTATGGTTTGTACAGATCTCATCGCAGAAGGTGAATCGACCTGTAATCGCGATGGCGGATTTAACTTAAGCAGTTGCGTTGGCGTTTTGTCATCTCAATTCCCGAAGATGATAGCTGAAAATCCTTTGCATAGTCTCCTTTAGCCCGCTGGATCTCGCTGTCAACGACTGGCTCAGAGATTATCGATGTTTAGTCGCAATTCCGGCCCAGGTCCACGATCGTCGTTGCCAGCCTCGCATTTCTATTCTATTTGAGATGGCAAACAAGTGGGTACGGCCGTGCGAGAATCGACCAACTATCGACCGAGATCACGATGCTAAAACAGAATACGGAGTGCATAATAAAGTCGTGACTTCGGAGCACAACGGCCAAATCCCGGCTTAGATGGCAGTTCGTCTCCATTACTTTAAAAACTCTCTACGGTCCTTTCAAGACTACACATTTACATATTATCGCCATTGTGATTCTAGAGCGGGAAAAAGCTACAGTGTGATAAACCGGCATCCGAAGGATGCACACGGACCAAATGGATCGGAAAAGGACCCAGGATTTTCTAGATTAAACAAGCGGGACGGGCTGACTACCGGACTAACGGCAGTATCTAACGACGGACTAATGTTAGTGTCCTTAGTCGTCTTAAGATCCATGCTACTATGTTATTATTGACAAAATCAATTGCCAACCGAACGGTTCCGTTGTTTAGTGGAAAAGCACGGAGTCTTCCGTGCTCTGCTCCGACGCCTATCTTGCTCATTTCTATTTTGCGAGACAAGAATAGAAGCCTTGCTATCCTTTTTTTATTATTTTCTTTTTCTTTTTCTTTTTCGCGCCGGATCTCGGTCCTTTTGGACGAGTCGAGCGATGTTGACAAAGAATCGATGGGTCGTTCGTTGAGCCGGGACACCCAAGAACAGGCGTTTGCTATCTGGCCGGACAGGTCACAAACATCCGATTGCGGCTGAAGTGAGCTGTTACTTGTCCGAGAGTTCAACAGTTGAGACTTCAACTCGGAAACTACCTGTCAGACCGGGATAGAGTTCAGCGGCGTGGAGCATCAGCTGTCATGTTGAGGATAAATGAGTTAATTGAGAACATCCCGGCGTTTACTCCGTGAGTAAAAATAAGAAAATTTTAATAATAACGCGGACATACGGATTGTCGCTGACAAGTCTACAAACGTACAGAGAATAATAATATTCAAAGGAATGCAACAATGCTTGCCGCAGTCAATTAATAACGGGACGCAGTCCTATTACATATCCGTCCTCCCCCAATGCATCGTACTTATTGCTTGTGGACCTTAGCCAGGTGATTTTTTTTCTGTTCTCCAACCCGCCAACTCCCGACTCCACTTCCCTTTGTTCCCCTCGTATCTCAATAATTTGATCCTGTGGGTGGGATTAGGGGGGGAACTCGGACCGGGTGGTCCTTCGAACCCATCTGTCAGGCGATCCATACTGCCTACGGAAATATGTCCTTCGACCGGTTCTGGCCCGAGACAGGTGACAAGTGATAATGCTAACGCATTCAAACGGCACCTGTCTCCACGGGGCAACGGTCCATATCCTGTTGCCCTCTATAGAAGCACTACTCCCTGAACCATAACTCATCGGCCAGCGAATGGCTCGAGTCCATGAAAGTCGTACGGAGTACGGAGTACGGAGCACAGGGTAAACGAAATAGTGGATGAACTCCGGCACGGCATTGGCCAAGGAGGAGGGTCAATCATGATATGTACCCTTGATGAGTACCAATGCGAGGCTGCTTTTTCTGCCTTGAGCACAGAATTATACCAGGATTACCAATGGCATTAGGAGCAACGAATCAGAAAATGTGGTCATTGACCCGTTGCCCTCGCTTGGACTGAGTCGTAACCTCCAATCGTACGGGGCTTTAAAACAATGATATTTATGACGAATCCTTTTTATTTCTATTCGTCCTCGTTCCTTCGTAGCATACTATTGTTTTTCATTCTTCACATATATTTTTTTGTTTTTTGTCTTGTGGTGACATCCCTGTTGACACCATGAGCTTCGGTCAGGCTGTTCTGTCCCAGATTACGGTGGCCAAGGTCATCCTGGGACTGCTCGCATATTTTGCGCTTCGAATTGTCTACCAGATTGTCTACTACCGCTTCTTTCACTCTTTATCTGCCTTCCCTGGTCCGTTCTGGGGAAGTGTTACTCGGCTCTGGATAACATGGCACAACCTGAAGGAGACTGAGGTGCCTACTGTGCATGCGCTGACGAAGAAATATGGTGCATAGTAGTTCTGATTCTACTATCTCGGACACTGGCTAACAACTCGCGTTACCTACAGGCCCCGTTGTGCGCATCACTCCTACAATGCTGCTGGTCAGCGACCCCAAGAAGCTCCCCGAGGTCTACCACCGCCACGCCGACAAGACCAGCCATTATATCACCGGAAGTTTTGGAGAGTCGGAGAGCCTATTCAACATGAGAGGCCACAAGATACATGCTACGTTTAGGAAGCATGTTGCTGGTCCTGTAAGTTCCTACACTCGAAGTAAAACTAGTCTAGGAAACTTCGAGGCTAACAGCATGCAGTTTAGCTTTAGTAACATGAAGAAGATGGAGCCATTGGTGGATGCGCACATTGCGCAATGGGATGGCAAGCTCAAGGAGAACTTTGCTAAGACTGGTGCTACCTTTGACTTTTCGTGGTGGGCAGTGTAAGTCTCCTGTTGACGTGGTTTCATCATGTAAAGAATGCAGACTGACAGTTATTTGCTACTAGGTACCTGGTCTACGACATCATCAGCGAAATCGGATTCGGCGCTCCCTTTGGCTTCATCGAACAAGAAAAGGACATTGGCGGTCTCATCCAAGGCTTCCACGACGGCCTTCCGGCCTTCGGTCTCCTCGCCCGTCTCTACCCCTTCACCAACTGGATGAAATCCACTTTCCTGAAGAAATACCTCGTCGCCACACCCGCCGACGACTCCGGAATCGGCGTCCTCATGCGCTTCCGCGACAGCCTCATCGACCAACGCTTAAAGGACATCGAAGACGGCAAGAAAATCACCCGCGTCGACCTCCTTCAGACCTTCCTCGAAGCCCGCACCGAAGACGACAAGCCCCTCGACATGGAATACATCCGCGCAGAGACCCTCCTCGTTCTCCTTGCCGGCGCCGATACCACAGGAACAGCCTTCCAAGCAATGATCCAGTACCTGCTCAAGAACCCGGACTCCTTCAAGCGCATGATGCGCGAGATCGACGACGCAGACGACAACAACCTCCTCTCTGCTATCCCGCAGTACAACGAGGTCGTCGAGCATCTCCCCTTCTACGTCGCCTGCGTCAAGGAAGCTATGCGTCTCTGCCCCTCCGCACCGAACATCTTCCCGCGCTACGTCTCTGACCCCGGTCTCGACCTCTACGGCAAGTTCGTGGCGCCTGGTAACGAGATCTCCTGCAACCCGTACCTAGTCCAACGCGACCCGGAGCTCTACGGCGAAGACGCGGAGGAGTTCCGGCCGGAGAGATGGTTGGATCCTGAGCGGGCGAAGCTGTACAACAAGTACAACTTTGCTTTCGGGTATGGATCACGGGTTTGTCTGGGCAAGGATATTGCCATGATGGAGTTGTATAAGGGGCCGCTGCAGTTCTTTCGGAAATATAACCTCGAGGTTCCGCAGGATAAGCCTGCGCCGAAGTTCTGTGTTAAGGGGGGTGTTGGGTTTTGGAGGGATGTTTGGTTGAATATTTCCAAGCGGCTTTGATTATTTCTTCTTTCTCTTCTTTTCTTATTCTTATTCTTTCTTTCTTTTTTTTTTTTTGCGTTCTCTTTTACAAATACTCTTTTTTACTCCTTTCATCTTTTCGCAGTACATAGCATGCATAGTTAGGGATATCCGGTAAATACAAATAACCATTCAAACTCAACACGCACATCTTCCTTCGACTCCTACAAGTACTCGTACCTGTACACATCAGCACCTTAGAGCATAGCAAATTACTTTTCCCAACCAGCACGATACCCTCGGCCCCCCCTCCGTCCGGACTCAACACCCGCCCATCTCAGCCAGTAGCGCAGCAAGGTACTTTTGACACGATCCTCCGGCTTCTCGCAGAGATTTTGCAGAGTG